TTTCCAGTCATGCTGCAGTCTATCAGAGTGTTGCAACTCTGTGGGTCAAGTTCGTGTTCGAGATCTTGTCTCTGCTGAACGAGCTTGTGGGTGGTCGCACGGGCCTCTTGCGCAGGCCGTGGCTTTTGAGTCTCTTTCAGTTCAGTCTCTGCTCTTTGCAAGAGACTTCACTTTGTCGGAGTTTCTCGTTGAATTCTTTTTAGTTCTTTTCTCTGACTATTTTTCTTCAGTCTATGTAGAAAATTAGACAGGGCAGTTTGAAGTCTTTCCACTTCCTTCGGTAGCTCGGGTAGTTGTCATCCTCGGCGTTACAACCTTGTGCTCCAGGGCGATGCGGCTCCTTTCGCGGAGGCGTGCGTGTGCGTTGAGCTGGTGAGCGAGGTTGTGACGTGTCTGGCCCAGTCTTTGTCAGCTGCTCTTGGCTCGGGGCTCTGAGTCGCTGGTGGCTTTGGGCAGGGATGGAGATGTCATGAATCTCAGCCATGTCTCCAGGTTGTCCCAGGTCGTCCCAGCGGGTTGTGGGACTGTAGGACTGGAACATACTGCCTTCACTGTGGACGAGAGGAACACAACACACACAGACAGACCAATGCCAGTTCGACTACTTTTAACGAGCTATAATACAGGCTAAGCCGTGTATGAGAATTTTGGTTAACTGATGCAGACAGTTAAACCGTTTGGTGGGACAATTTGGGTAGGTCATCATGGGTCTGAATGAAGGTTTTTGACAGGGCGCTAGCTTAGGGGTCACCTGTTGGTGCTAACGACTTGGTTGTCAAACTATTCTTCAGCTTTCCTTGGTGTGTCAGAGAGGTTCTGTCTCTAGGTGAACTGAAAGGAACAGAGCACAACAGAACAGAGCAATGGCAATCTAGCAAAGTTTGAAGTAACATGCAACCATCAGAGATGGGGAGGTCTGTACTGAAATGGCATTAGTAGTAGTACACCAGCAGTGTTAGAAAGGGGAAGAAGAGAAGGCCTAAGCCTGTTTGGAGCCGGTTTGTGGCTCGGAGAGGAGGAAGCCAACCACTTCAAATTACCAGGGGAATCTCTAGATTCTGTGGCAAATAGTAAGTGGATGGGTTTTAATACCTTTTCTAGTTTGCCTGGGGTGAAATGAGGTCATTCTGGCCGGAGTCAGCATCGTGGTTGGTCCTTCTGTCGCCCCACACATGACAGCAGTGTCCCGGGCCTTTCGGTGCATCTGTACAGAGGTGCGCCCTCTCAAGCAACTTGACCTTGAACACAACCGGCGGTGCCAGATTGGTGATATCGTGTTGCGGGCCGCACCAACAACCAGAAGATACAGAAAAGTCAGAGACTCGCACTCAGTCAGTGATGGTGACGCAGATCAGACGAACCAGCTCGCTGGACCCCAGGCAGAGATGACTGTCAAATCATCACAGCACGAGAGAGATTTCTACTTGCAAACACAAAACAGAATGAAGAACGAGTGTACTTCAATGGGAATTAAAGCTCCTTTATCTAAATCAAATTGAGTGTTTTTTTTTTGTAGAAAAATCAAAGGCAACAGCTTTACTAAAATTATGGTATAAACAAAAAGGAAATTATGACAATGTTACTTATCAGAATAACCTAGCCTCCATTCAGGAAAGAGATAGAGTGCAGCAATGAAGAACACAGGAGGAAGCGAGCTGTAGTGGCGGGTTTTGGCCACTAAGGGTTTTGGGCCACTTCCTGCTAGTGTTTCACCGGGCTGACAGAGAGCTTGATTTAAATTGCATTCAAACTGATTTAAACACAATTCAAATTGAGCAAATGCATAGGGGTTAAGTAACCATTAGATTAGTAAGGATACAGTTGTACCAAGACCAGATCAAAATTATTAAAAATAATTTGAGGAGGAAATATAGAAATAAAGCCATAAACAATTCCCAATGGGAAATGAGAGAATTAATTCAAATTAACTTCGAAATTTGTCTGTTTCAAACCAAAATTTGAATAAGTGTAGGAAATTAAAGGTTGGTGTCATATTTGATGATAATCACGATTACGGTGAGGGATCAGTGATAACCAGAATACAACCAACAGAGAGAGCCATGCAGAACAGAGTGCTGTTAGCTGATGACTTAGCAAAGGGACGGCCACAAGGGGGCGCTTTCCTCTAAGTGGTCATCAGAAGCTGCTAAGACTTAATTCTGAATTTTAAATTCAAACGTGGTTTGAACCAAATTCAAAACAAATGCACACAGTCAAGGTAAAGAAAATCATGTTATTACAACGAGGCTGTAAATTGCACATGCATTGAAAGTTAGAGAAACTAGTTCAAAATTTCAGTAAGAAAATAGGAATTTTCTAACAGAGAATTTTGAGGAAAAGATGACCTAGCTGTTAGTGTCCACACGATGGCGCCACTGCGCTCACACGGGGTAAAGTCAGGACACCGGTGGAAATTTGATACTGCAAAGCACTCAAGGGCGCACCCTAGTGTCTGGCAGTAGTATTACAACCAGCCCCCTGACCCGGTGATTTATTCAGAGGGAGTGGAGCGTTACCACCCTCCCTGCTGTATAATCACAAATATTACGGAATTTTAAATCTCGACGGATTTCTTTCCGGTACTATATTTTACAAGCACGTTGGCAGGATTTTTTCCTTTTCGCTGCGTTGTGCAAAAGAAAACAGGAATTACTCGTCTGTTTCAAAACTCCAAATAACATTTATCACAACTAGTATTAATGATTGGAATGTTTTCAGTTTTGGATTTTTTTGGTGCTATATTTGTTTAAAACACGTTCGCAGGTTTTCTTCGCTGCATTGTGCAAAGGAAAACAGGAATTACTCGTCTGTTTCCTGCTCCAACAGGCATATATCAAATAGCACTTATGATAATATGCTTGACGGTTTTATACATTGAGTAGCTAAGTCAATGTTTTTTTCAACCAGGAGCTTATCGTTACTCTAACGATTATAATAAGGCCTTTTAAGAACAGTAAAAGAGCATCGTTTTACCGTATCTTGTCTTCGACACTATTCGGAGAATTTCGTCCGGACAGTGGAGTTAAAATTATTAAAAGTGTCGTTTATGCACAGAGGTTTCTCTTCCATCTGTGCCAGAACAAATTTAATACTATGGAAACTGCAGTTTATTTTTAACAATTAACAGTGACTAAAATGTTTGAACATTTAGCAGCTTGTTAAATGTGCTTGACTGAGGCGGCTTTCGTGCCCAGATCAGTCATATCATGAGTTCGCAAAGCGTTCACTCCGATGCGCGTGTAATATTAAATATTACATAAACAATATTAAATAACAATATACACATTAGCTTGAAATTGATTGCTCATAAACAAGTTTGAAATGCTCAGCATTCTCCACCATTGTAAAGACTCTGGGTCGGTTCTGATCAGGGGGGAATTTGCATATCATAATTAATAATTGATAATTAATAATTATTCATACAGATTTGGATCAGACCGGTCTTACATGTTAATTTATTAATTTTACCCATATGCATACATGTGCATCCCCGCAATCCACCACAAATTAATTGTTATTGATTGCAAGGACCACGTTTTACAAGACAGGTAAAATCAATTAGCTCAATTAAGTTATATAGCTTGTGAAAACAAATTCTGTGGCCACTAGAATCTGCCTTCCCTGCTATATAACCAAATACCCTCTTAGGTATTTATAGTTCTGTAAAGCGTGTAGCTTTAAATCGACATTTCATTGACCCGTATCATGAGCAAGACAATCAGTCAAGGTAAGCATATTTTGTATTTAATAAAGTTCCTACTTAAGCATTCACTACGTTACAATGTTATGTATTTACAAACATTAAAACACAAACTAAGACGACGCAGAGCGTTTAGACAATGGATACGCGCAAGTTAAGTGAGTTTGAGAGAGAGAGTGAGAGAGAGAGTGAGTTGTAAGAGAGAGAGAGAGTTACGTTCATCAAAACAGTCAGTTAACCTTTCTTGACACCCCAAAACATCTTCTTAATGCTTCTTAGAAGCTCTAAAAGAAGGTATACTTGCAAGGCACATGTGGTCTGTGTGAGTCGTGGGCTCGTTGCTCGACCCGTTCGGGCCACGTGTCGGCTAGAGGTGCGCCGGTCCGGCGCGCGTGCGTCACGTGAAGCGCGGCCGCGGCATGTTGGCGCGGCCCGTCCCGGCTCGTTCATGGCTGCTTTGTTCCGTGGGGAGTCACGTGGCGTTCGTCGGCATTTAGCGCCAGTGTTTGAAAGGCTGAGAGTCTTTGAGGTGACGTTACCCGAGGAGATAGTTCGGCAAAGTCCACTTCCTTTCCTGGAAGACGAACTTGGTAGTCCACTTGAGGAAAAGATGAAACTTTTAGACGAACAAAAGGAAAGACCCATGGTTGGATCAGAGTCCCGTGAGGTTTACATGTTGAGCGCTGGAAAGTTCAGAAGAGGAGCCAGGGCGGACCTGCGTTCTCACATTTATCACCTTGGAGAAATCCATCCCCTTCCTGTTGGCTTGAGCCAATCGGAGAGTGGATATTACACGCGAGAAGCCTTCTTTTATGGTCCTTTGTTCCTCAGCGCGCGCTTCTCGTGGAAGGGGGTGTGTTCTATAATAACAATTTGATCTTCATTGGCAGTAAAACGAATTAAAAATACACTTTACTTTACATCTCTATGCATATTCGAGTGTTTCATTCAATAAGCATTCTAGAGATATCAAGGAACATTATGTTATATCAAAGGAATATACACTTATGTTTCGAATGCATGACGAAGGTATTTTTAATTCCTATTTAAACTGTGACCAAACAAAGTTATTTCACTGTGACATGGGGAAGACACATATACACAAAAACCATTGAATACCTTTGTTAAATGTCTTTAAAACCAAAAGAGATGTATTTCTCTTTGTTCAGAGACATTAGTTTGTCCACATTCCATTGGTCCCATAAAAGTCTTGTAACTCGATGCCACTGAGGTACGTGGATGAATGTGTATGTGTGTGTGTGTGTGTGGTATAATTCGCCTGGCCAAGATTCATTACACCCACCCAGCGCAGCGGTGTCCAGTGCCCCTACACCGAGCACCATGCACTGTCTCTGTAAGTACTGGCATAATCCACATTGCATTCTATGAATACACACTCCACTCCTGTGCACTTTCCTCTGCACACATATTTTGTATTCAAGGAAATCTTAACATAATGACGTAATAACAGTACTATATACTCTTAGGGTTAGGGTTAGTAGTAAATAGGGTTTATAAAAACATAAAATAAACTTACTGACCCCAGACTTTTGAACAGCATTGTATAATTCCATCCAGGATGAATTACAATTATTGGACAGGTATGTTTGACTGTTTCTCTTGTTATACAAACAAAATCTATTATATTTCACTGCATGATTTTACAGACACAAGATCCTGGAGTTCCAGCCTCTGTCCCCAGAACCACTGCAGATGTGACTAGTCCTGAGTCTTGCGGTATTGTCTCGGTAAGCAATTTCAAATTCTATTGGTCTAAAATAATTTATTTTTCATATTAACTTTCACAACTCACTAGAGTTGCACAAAATAGCGCTCGCAGCTGACACAATTCTAAAAACATTTGGAACAAATGTAAATCCTAAGTACGTATTTGACATCCAATATTTTCTATTTAATGTGAGGGTAGTCTTGGATAGATAAAGCGCTAATTAAATAAATGACCTGTTAGACTAAATGTTTTTTTTTTTCTTTTTCCTTCACAGACTGCTCCTTTCGGGGGCATCATTGCAAGCTCCATCTGCAGTTCGACTGCATCGTTTGTGGCCGGAGACCTTGCCGCCAGAGGATCACAGGTGGATTGCCAGCAGGCTTTTCAAAACGGGGTCCAAGGGAAAACCAGAGCTTCGAGACGACCTACAGCTCTGGTATTACCCACCACAGCCAGCACTTATCTACAACCAGGCTCCAGCTCCAGACAGATTTTTTAGTCATGCTCTGTTGCTGTGGATGCCGTACAAGCTTTGGAAGATAAAGGCTGTCTGTCCCAATTCTGCCTGCGGTCAGCATCAGCTGACTGGAGGCGGTCTGCACAAAAGGGCACGGCAGGTTCTGGACATCGATAGGATGTACAACATGGTCACAGAAACCCTCATCTGTACCAAGCCTCGCATGTGTCCTGGAGTCAGACCATCCTGCAACAGCTGGATCTGGGCCATCGCTCTGAATATCGGGTCATCCTCACGCGGAAGTAAGTACACTTTAATTCCACATCCAGTTGATAGACCATCACCACATATGTTTGCAAATACTTTACAAATCAAATATGTAAAATATGAATGTGTGTATTTTGCTCTTCCTAAGGTATGCCTGTGACATGAGAGTCATTCGGCTCCTCTCTGAGCGTGGCTAGGCAACAGTCCCACGCGGGTCATTAAACAGCTGCGTGAGAACCACAGCGAGGAGTGGCTCCAACGTATATGGCCCGCGTGGTACACCACCCAATGCGTGGACTTCCTCAAACGTCCCGGGGTGTTGCAAATAAAGTTCCAGGAACCCCCAGAGCCCACAGTGGTGCCAAGCTGCAAGTGGCTGCTCACCGTTTACAGCCAAGACATCCTGACAAGGCTGGATCATGAAATCCATGCAAGGATAACATGTGGATGTGGATATGGTTCAGTCTTGAAGATGGATTCCACTTAAAAGGTTAGCTGGGGATTTTTGTTCTTCTATGGCGTTTACTGTTATATCATTATCAGGGCATGAGTATCATATTCTACATGGTGTGATGTTTCATAACATTGCATGCTTCCTGTAATCGACTGCAGATCACCAAGAAGCTGGCTGGGACGGCAAGGGGAACGGGACTCTGTCTTACCTCTGTTGGCAATGAGTTTGGTCAGGTGCTCATGAGTGTGCTGACAGCACAGGAAGGAGCAGGACTGGACAAGATGGTTGATGGTCTGGTAAAAAGGTACCAGCAGGCTGGTGTGGATCCACCTACTGTTTTGTACGTGGACTGTGGCTGCTGCACTGATGTGGGTGAGACCAAGCTAAAAACCAGATTCAGAGGTTGGCCTGATCTCATGATTCGCTTGGACATCTGGCATTATATGCGCAGGATCGCCATGGGGTGTACAACTGATGCCCATCAGCTGTATCCCATCTTCATGTCACGGCTGTCAGCGTGCATTTTTGAGTGGGATGCGGCTGATATTTCTATGCTTCGCAAAGCAAAGAGAGAGCAGTTGTTATCCCAGGGCTGGCCTGCGCTGACAGATGAAGATGTCAACAAGCATCTCACCAGGGAGGAGCTAGCACTGCATTGCCGGAGGAGGACCTGTGGAGAGGAGACTACCATCCTTCTCCTTGAGCGGCTGCTTACAGAGCTCCTGAGCAGTAAGGGCAAAGACTCCCTGGGTGTTCCTCTCCTGGACCGAGAAAGAATGGAGCACATCTGGAATGTCCAGAAGAAGCATGTGAAATGCATTCAAGACCCCCCTGGTGTTGTGCTCTACACAGAGACAGGGACCCTAAACAAGGGAGGCGTGCTTCTGAAGACATACAGAAGTGCCAGAGGCTCCACTTCTCTCGAGTCCTTTCATTTACACCTGAACCGTTTCATCCCAGGTATTGTCTTTTCCACACACACTGTGCATGTGTAAAGAAAGAGCGTTTTTTCGTGTTGCTTTAACACCCCTAAAACACTGTTGTGTCTATTTACAGGGGCCAGTGCAAACAGTCTGAATTTTCAGATTTATCTGCTGGAGGGTCTACACCGGTGGAACCAGGACCGGGAGGCTGCTTCCCTGTCATCGGAGCCATCAGCTTTGCGCAGCTACACAGGAGAACTTGTTCACTGTGTAAACGGCAATTACGGAAAGCTGTTTGGCAGGAAAGTGGTCCCCACGTTTTGTCCCCCTGCATGTTACACCGGTGAGAATTGTTTTATTTATTTTTTATTTTATCAACTTGCAATTTCTGTGTAACCTAATTTAACCCTATAGAGTTGATTGTGTCATAATTAATATGCACGTTTCTAAAGGCCTCTAAATTTTCAACATGAGGAAACATGCCCTCTGTCGACTGATTGATTATAGTCTTTTAGTGTAATTGTAAAAGTGTCCACCTTCAGCTCAGCTCGTGCTTCACGTTTCTTTTCACTGTGAAACCTTTACTGATATTTATAAAGTAATTGTAAGAATAACTTTTATATTGTTAGTAATATGCAATAACTAATTACTAGACAGAAGCAGCTTGGGTTGTTCACTTGATTAGAAAATCATGTTACATGTAAATATCAAAATGATCATCAGACTTTTCTATCAGTCATCATTGTATTGCATTTCATATCATGTTTTGCCCCATAATTAAACATGTTGGGCCTTTGAATAAAACTGTTTTGTTCTCCTTGACGATGAGCTCTATATTCTCACAGTATATGAGCTGCTACAAAAATGTATCAAATCTGATACACAACATTCTATTTCATTTCTTTTTGTTTATTGTTTTTATTTCAGGTGAGCTCATTGGAGTGCAGTATCTGTTCCAGCAGACTGGTCAGGTACTGCAGGACATGAATCCAGACTCTGAGCAGACAGCAGAGCTCATTGAGGACCTCAGTGTGGAGGAGCGAGATGAAGATGAGGGCTACTGTGACATCAGCGAGGATCACACAATAGCAGATCCGGAGGCTGTACTGTCACCACCACCCTCTTCCACACTGACACTGGGTTCTTCCACCCTGGTCGCCAGCAGTGCCACACATGTACTGGGCAGGGCTCCACATCCCCTTCACTGGTCCCTGACCCCAAACTTGGCCTCACACAGTCTCCTTCATCACCTGGACCCTCAGGGACTGCCGTCACACCTGTTCTCTCTGAAACATCTGTTTCAACTCTCCCCTCAGATCCAGAGGTGCCAATGGTCCAGGGTCTGCAAATGATCCAGGGCATCCCAATGGTCCAGGGGATGCAAATGACACAGCCACTGCTACAGCCAACAGCTGTACAGGGCACCCGCTTACCCGCCCAAGAGACCCTACAGGAGAACCGTAGAGGCCAACACTTGTAAAAAATGCGGGCAAACGTTTAAAACAAGTGCAACAGGACATAGCCAGTACAGGGGCCGGGTGTACTGTCCACAGACTGAGACAGTAACAAAGGAGGTGTGGTGTAGATATTTTTTATGTATATAGCATCATGTATATAGTGTGAACAGTTGTTTAAATAGCTAATACTTGTGTTGAATAATTTTTAATTTTGTTTTTAACATTATTTAACATTTTAACTATTTATTACTTGCTTTTGAAAACCTATTTCACTTTTCATTTTATTTATTTATTTATTTATTTTAAAAATATTTTATTTAACATTTTAATATTCATTACTGTTGGCATGATTGGAAAATAAAAACGAATTGGCAAGTGATTTCTTTTTGACTTTGTCTTTCATTTGTTAATCAGAACACTGACATTTTCAGCAAATTAGTTACTATTTAATGGGTTGCATGTTTATTCATTAGAAATAAAAGATTTTAAAGTGTCTTGTTTGAATGTAACCTAAAAAAAAACGTACATAAGATCAATAATAATACAACAACTAAATAATAACACTATTCCATTGGCAATTATACATTTTTATGAAAGAATATAAAAAAAAACACAACAAACAAATAAAATGTGTATATTTTATTAACAATACTTTATTATAACAGTATTTTATCAGTACACTGCAACAAGATAACAATAGAGTTTAATAATTTGTACATTTTGTTGTTCTTCATTCATTTTTTAGCATATTAGTTACCATTTAATGGGTTGCATCTTTGTTCATTGCGTAATAATGCAAATAACATTCTTTTTAATTAAAGAATATAAATAAACAAATGACATATGTATATTTTATTAACACTGGAACAGTATGCATTCAAAAACGATTCTTATTTAATTAACTAATAAATATTACAAAAAGTTGTCTTTAGCTGGATTCGAACCCAAGTCTTGGTGAAGACCTGCAATAGAAAACAGTGTAATATAAATGCGTGATTTTCTTGAAATGCATTTTTTCTTTCTCTTCTTCCCCTTCTCTTTTACTTCCTTCCCCCTTTTCTTCCCTTCTTCACCACCTTTGTTGGACTATAATTGTTCCCCAGATTTTGTGGCTCATTTTGTGGCTCATTTTTCGTATCAACACCACAAATTAAACTAAGAATTGTACATCTTTACAGTGAATTCGACCTAACGTTGCTAGTAGGTCTAATAATGAAATGAAGGCAAATAATATATATATATATATATATATATATATTTTTTTTTTTTTTTAATAAAAACATGAATGGGGTGAGTGATATTTGCTACATGTTTAAAAAAAATCATGATGTTACAAAATCCCATTTTACTGTCGGGGTCCTCTTAAAGGAGCAATAATGTGTGACTTTTAGCGACATCTAGTGGTTCGGTTGCGAGTTTGCACCAGGTTTGCACTAAGGGCTCAGCCCACTGCTCACCCCTCCCTTTCGAAGAAGCTACGGTTGCTAAAACGGGACAAACATCTCGTCGGCTGAGATAGCAGAGAATAGCCAGAGTAAGCCAAGAGTGTGTAACATTGTCACTGTTTCTGTACCACAGTCCATTATAAACCACATCATGAATACTGTCTGTTTACAAAGCCATAGTCAGGTGAGGATCAAGGGTTTTAATATATAATTTAATAAAATAATAATCAGCTGATTGTCTCACAAACGTAACCAGCAGCACATTTCTCCCTACATACTGTAGCAAACCCATAATACAGCGAGGGAGCAGCTATATATTTTTTCTAACAGGGTAGTAATAGTTTAGCTGGCTAATATGAGCTGTTGGCTGAGCTGGGACGCATCTGCATGAGTCCAAAGGTCGGAAGTGCGCGCGCTGTTACAATCATGTCATCTCCGCATCCCATAGATACTATTTACTACACACAATAGGCTTTTTTTCTCTGATTTTTAAAATTCTTCGCGATCGACTTTAGTGATAAAAGACTTTAGTAAAAGTCTCTATCGACGGGTTAGTGATTCCTGTAACGTACTGTTTTACGGTCAATGACATGAATACTAATCATCAGCTGTCTCACGAACGTAACAGCACATCTATCCCCAACATAACAAACCCATAACACAGCGAGGGAGAACTAAGTTACATGAAACAATCCCAACTACATATTTTACACCACTCACAAGGGAAAAGTCACTACTCACGGAGTGTAAGGCTAGCTTCCAGCTTTCCGCTACTTCTCTTTCAAGGTAGTGATGAAACGCGTTCTGTAGCGCTGTTTGTTCGCGTTCGGCTACGGTAGGAATATGACGTCACAACATGGCGACCTTCATAGAAGGGGATTCCCTCGGTTATGGAGCTATTAATGTCTCATTCTAAGGTAATAAAAACATTACGGCTAATTAAGTAAGTTCTTTATACACCACTGAAAACATAGTTATGGATGTCATATTGCATTTCTGTTAATAGATACTCAACTTTGTTACACATTGCACCTTTAAGAAAATATATTTCCCTATATGAATGGTTTCACACAGCATATTTGAAAATATACAGAATAATATATGGTGTTAATATATTACAATATATTGAATAATACATAAGGAATCTTTATGCATTTAAAAATGCGATAGACAATATAATTACTAATATTATAATGTATGTAATTCTATATTCAGTAATACACTTCATAATATGAAGAGTTCAGATGCAAAAGCCTCTAAGTGCCATTTGAAATTTTCTTCTAGAATGATAATTTTTATCAAGCTTTAAGTTCAGTGATTTCACTTAAATGGCAATGATAATTACCTATTAATTGTTATTTAAGTGAAATTACTGAACTTAAATATACAAGTTTGATAAAAATTATCATTAAAGAAGAAAATTTCAAATGGCATTTAGAGGCTTTTGCATCTGAACTCTTCATATATACAGGGATTACATTTCTCCACTCCGTCGCTACGAGAGAGAGTCTGTGACGGAATTCCGTCATTACCAGGGTTCCCCACTGTCCTCATGTCTTAAATTCACTTTTCATAATTTTAAGGCCGTAAATATGCTCACATTTCTCAAAAAGTGTAATAAATGTGTTAAATTTAAAAACGGAGTAGTTTTGAGTTTGGGTTCTGCATCATGCACTAGATGTGCAAAAAATGTGGTATTAACTGGTAAGACTGCAACAGCAAATTCTGAGAATATGCTAATTAACTTAATTAGCATTATTTTATGTTTATTTCTGTTGCTGTTCCCTTCTGAAGTTTTTATTACTTATTGAATAAAAATTTATAAAAAATACAATTTTTTTACCAAATGCTATAGTTTGATTGTAATCATAATGCAAAACCTGATACTTATCTAAACAATTTCGTAAAAAATAAAAATAAAGCAGTCTTTTAGAATATCTAGATGTATATCTAAAAAAAAAAAAAAAAAAAAAAAACGAATAAGATAGAGAAATCATGTCTAAAAAACAAACAAACAAAAAAAAGCCTTTCTATGTATTTATATAGGAAGAGCTTACAGGCTGGTACAGGACATTGCACACATGTAACTATTTTTAAAGCCACTAGATGGCGTGCTTCTACTTGAAAAATTTTTTTTTATTAGGCTGGCACTCTATTTAGATGTGAAATGTTGCACTTATTGAAAAAAATATATAAAATACAAATATATATATATATTAATTCTAATGGGAAAATAGCTCATAAAATTATATAATTAATGCAAAGTATCATAAAAAAAACCCTGTAAAAATTCTAAATAATAATCAGAAAACAATAATAGAACAACAATATATTTGAATGGTTATCCTGGGGAAAAAATAAAGTAAAATTGTAATGCTTCATCCGTTTTTGACCGGGAGGACTAAGTGGCTTTTTCGGTTACACAAAGAAAAGAAAAAAAAACTGGGTTGAGATGCCAGGAAAGACGTACACTTCGTGATCTATGCCACGAAGTGCTTGGCATAACTAACCTCAGCGAGCCTGTGAGCCTATGTGCAATGAGGTCCTAACATTGCAAACCCTACCCACACACAATACAGATAAAGGTTCCTAGTAGTATTTATAGTGTCTTTCGTGCCTTTCACAACGGCGGTAACTATTTTTAAAAATTAAAACCTGTTTTACCATATGTAACACAGGTTAAATAAATAACATTTAATTTACACGCAATTCAGTGATCAATCCCCTTAATAAAATTTGATAAGTGATAGAAAAAAATGAGTAATATAAAAAATAATATACATGAATAAATATGCAAATTAATTCTCGATAAAAGCTCGGTGATCAACCAATGAGAGCTCTTTGTCATTTGAGCCATGGGTGTCGACGAGCATGCGCAATGACAGAAAGAGACGAGCTTGATTGAGAATAGCAGACGCAATCTGATCGTCGTGATCGTTTTATAAATCTGAGATTGAAAATCTTCGAAAAAAATAATTAAAAAGTTGCAGTTTGATTAATTTGATGCATTCTGAATGAGAAGCCGATCGTATAGAGGAATACATTCTATCTGGTGAGTCAGTATCATTTACTGTAATTAACCCTCTATGGTACGCAATATGATATCAGTGATAAAAAATGTTTTTGTTATGTTTTTCCTGCTTAAAATTGGACACAATCCACAAGTTTCCTACGCCCCATGAGGCCTTGCGTCAAAAGTGGGCGCGACTTCCGGTTTGAAGTAAACAACAAAGCGCTACTTGACATGCTTGACACTCGTTCATTCAACAGTTGACAGTCATTCAAGTTATAGCGATCCAAACTAGCTAACGATGTGGGAACACAACCTCAACGAAATTCAAAAGGGTGAAATAACAGTACCTTTACCCTCCGCAGTAGTTGATTGGGAGTATTATAATAACATTATTAATAATCAATACTCATCAAGGCATGTTGACAGACAGTTGTGCGAGCTGACAAACAATTAAAATAAAAAATACACACTTAGTCATTGTGCTTTGGAGTTTATTCAAAATTATAAATGAATGTGCTACTGGAATACATTAACTGGCACATTTGGTATTCTGTCACCTCAGGCTTTGATCCTGAGTTTAGGTGTAACATCAGTAGCGAACGACATCTCTCATAAAGATTGGCGTCTTTAAATAGTAAAATAATTCTCCGAAAAAACAGCTAGCCTCTTCGCTAACTAACACACAAAATACCATTGGAATGCAACTTCCGCCGCGTCACCGGAAGTTTCACCCACTTTATTTTTTACATGAGCGCCCCTCGGAAACTTGTGGATAACAATATCAATAAACTTTATCATTCTTTTTAAATGTATTTATTCATTAAAAGTTTGTTGCCTCAAGGCAACATTGTACCACAATGGACAAATTGAAACGTTTGACATTTTCATGAAGAAAAAAATTAAAGATTTATTGAAAACACC